CGAGCGTATTTTCCATTTACGCGTATTCTCGATGATTTCTGCAATCTTCGGTATCTGGTAGCGTGACGAGTGTGCGTAACCTCGGCCAATTACCGCTACGGTAATCCCGACTAATTAATCCGCGTGATTCACGAGGAAGTGCGTTCGGGTTTATCGTGCGTTTAGAAATAATGCGTTCCAATTAGAAGTTTCGTTCCTCGCGCAGCCGTAACTCGATGCCATAACGGGCGAAATTAGCAGTTGAATACGTCAACTCGGAGTTATGATTCTCGACGCGAACGAAAATTACAAAGCAACTACCACTCGTGGTTCATCGCGACACCGCGGTGCTCGGCAATTTCTCGGATAACGCGGTAGAATTTCCATTTAAAACGGTCCAAGGGATTTTCCGCGAAATAGATCGCGTGGCACGTAACGCGTCGGACATCGATCGAAGAAAGAGTGAATCATCGAATCGCGGTATGGACTTTAATTCGCCCGTAAGCCTATCGACGAGGAAACGACATCGAGAGAGACAGGGTGTCGTGGCACGAAACGAAACACCGTCCAGCTCTATTGTTGCGTACCGTGGAGTGCATAATTAATGACCTTCGTGCCGATCGAGTTTTGCATTGCAAATACCACTTGGAAACGCTAGCGCACACCCTGGCGTTCCTCTCTCGTCACATAAATAAACGGACACGGCGTGCATGTGCACCGGATTCGTTGCTCGCCGGTACGATAAACACCGCGAAAAGTTTCGCGATCGAGGAAGAACGAGATGCTCGCGCGCTGCTATTTTTCCACGAACCAAGATTGCGACTTTTCGAAAAAAGATAAAACGGAAAAATAAAAAGAAAAGGTATCTCGACGATCGCATCTATCGCGTGTCCTTGTTTTCGAGTGGAATTCGAGTGCGAATCGAGTGTCGTATCTCGAGTATGCCACGAGCAACGTTATTAGCCTTTCGAGAAATATATTCGGTTAAATTTAGAAGGATCGTCCGTGAAGGAATGATCTCGAACGATCGGAAATTCGGTTAAGCGCGAGCGAGGAAGACGAGAGTTGCCACGGAATAAAAGCGTCATGGCGGATCAACGGATGGAAAGCGTGTTCGCGAAGCTCGCGCGAATAGGTGGCGAGCGCGAAATCGAGACAGCGCGCATAAATCAGGCCGAGTTTTCCATCGCGCAGCCTTCCAAGCTGCCCCAGAAACGTATTTCTTTCCACGTTCGTGTCCGTCCTTGCGGAGCGAACGCCGCTCTTCGGTAAAAAGTACCGCACGATTTCAACGCGGCCAAGAAAAGAATTTATCGCTACGTACACACGCGTCGTTGCTTGGCATTGTTATCAGCCACGCCAGATAGACGTTATCGCGGCACAAACATAACGCCATCGGTCGTTCTTTGCTTCTCGTAAATTTTCCAAGGTCACAGACCTCCTCCATCCGTCGAGCATCGTCGTCGTCGTCGTCGTCGTCGTCGTCTTTGCGTCTCGAGAGCCCGTTTATTAATCGACGACGAAACTCGCAAATTGGGGCTTCGTCGATACTGACCTTCGGGACGAGCACGGTAGGTTCTCGAAACCGTGGAAGAGACCCCCCCAGTCGTCTTTACGTCTCGAGAGCCCGTTTATTAATCGACGACGAAACTCGCAAATTGGGGGTTCGTCGATACTGACCTTCGGGACGAGCACGGTAGGTTCTCGAAACCGTGGAAGAGACCCCCCCTTCAGACGAAAAATCCGTGATCCGCGTTGTTGCTCTGGTGCATGGTCGAAACGGAACGCACTGCACACGCTGATTCACGAACCACGTTATCGCACTCTGCCTATCATCCGGGTGTGTACCACGGGAGAGAGAGGAAAAAAGAAAAAGGAAAAACGGCGACGATAAGGAGAAAAAGGAGGAACAGAAACGAAGAAGGTTGTCGGGAGGCTCGTGTGAATCGGTCGAGTTTTTCTCCAAGACTCCGGACGAATCGATCAGTCGTCGCGACACGGTCGGTTACGCTTTATCTGAGACGCGGAATGGAAAACACTCGGCCAATAGGCGGTTATCGAGATTTATCTATGCGGCGACGAAGAGAGGACACGATTTACGGGGGGAGTAGAACGGAGTTTTACGCGTAACGCGACGGCGCGTGATTCATAGGTTTTTCGAAGGCTCGTCCGAGCAGGACGAAAGCTCCGCAACGACTGGCAGGACATTTTCGTAGGGTAGAAAGGGCAGGTAGGCCCCTGGGCCCGAACCTGAAAGGATCCTCTCTGGTTTATGCACCCATACGTGTCCGCAATGTGTCCGTAGAGGTTCTCAACTTGCTCTCCGTTTCGAACGGTTCGGTTCGTCCTCACCGAGGATCGACCATGTGTGTCGTCTCGCGGGGATTCTTCGTCGTTATCGATATTATTACGTCTGGACTCGAAACGCGGAGGACGAAGCGCGATTTCGACCTGCGCGTGAAAATAGCTCGGACGAGTTGGAATACGTTGATTCGCGGTTTATCGACGTTACGTAAGATGTGACCGGAGGCGATGATCGTGGAAATAAGGAAGAAACGAGGCGCGACAGCTGTTAGAAGAGTTCCACGCCATCGAACGCCACGTCGTACGCGCGTATCGTGGCTCGCAGTGAAATCGATAGGAAAAACGGATAGGAAACGCATCGAGTGGACAGGCTCGCGGAATGTCGAAACGCGGCTAGTAAATCGGTCAATATCGCGGAACGAAGGAGAAATGAGAAACGCTGTGGGGCAACACAACGCAGGCAGCAAAGTACACAGAGTGCGGCGGGGCAGGTTTTGGGTGACTGTCAGGGCTGTAACACGCACAAAAGGCAGGTGCTGGAATGCATTGATTGCCTCTGCCCCCTCTCAGCATCCCGTGTCCCTACTACCCGTATCTGCTATGGGAACACACCCTTCTCTCCCAGGGAAACGCAGGAGAGACCCTGAAACCCCGGGAGAACGCCATCTCCTCGCTGCTTTCGGATTATCCCTCTTTTCCCGGTACGAGGGTGGCCTCTCGGCCAACGACCACGCCACACGCTCGCTTTTCTCTTTCCACCTTTTCCTCCATCTTCCTCGTCTCGTTTCGCGCGACCTTATCCGTTTTTTCCTACCAAGCGTGCAGCCATTTTAATCCGCGACGCGCGTGTATGCGTCTTCCAGAGAAACAACCGTTCCCCCCAGAATAAAGGATATTCCTTTTCTTTTTCTTCTCTTCTTTCTCTCCTCGGGACGGAAATTCGGCAACTGTCGCCTGGGAATTCCAAGCGTGGAAAACTTGATTGGATTTTACGGGACGATGCCGGAGAGTACGTTTCGGTTTTGGAAAATTTCCCGTTACCTCTGTGCATCGAATACAAAGTTTCGTGGAAAATTCGGCAAAGGGAATTTCGAACAGTTGCCGAACTGGGGCTGCGGTTTGCGAGGGAGATGCACGCTTTCGACGAGACGCCGACCGATTCGCTGCGGTGGTAAATGCGCCAAATTGTTTGCGCCAACAGTTCCACAACGAATTTCCGCGGATGTTCGCGTTTAATTTGGGGCAAAAGCGTTGCTCCGCTCCGCTACGTTACGTTACACGACGATCCAGTCGATTCGTTGGCTCTTTAATCCGATCGTGCGATAAATCCGCGAGAGAAGGAAAGAAACCAGTCTCTCGACCCCGATATAACGTTTCACCCCTCGTCGCGACCTTAATCGAAACGCCCACGCTCGACTCTGGGAGACCGTTGGTTCGATAAGGATCGAGAAATAACGACGAGCTAGGTAGAAGAGAGCTCCGGAGGGTGTGTGCGCGCCTTCCTTCCCCTCGAGTCTGAATCCCGAGAAGCAACCCTGGTCTTTATTAGTTTCTCTCGGCTCGTCCCGGTACAGTCCCTCTTCCTCGTCGTACGTTCGAGGAATCGGATGACCATGAAAAATCGACTTCCCTTCCATGCCTTCGCCCCGAGAATCTCGAACCCAGCCAGCCAGCCAGCCAGTCAGTCAGTCGGAGAATCGATGAACGAATCGCCTCCGTTCCCAACATCTTACTTGGAAATTCGCGACAACTTCCAAGGAATG